CCCCCACCCCTGAGGCTGTCCACTGACCCTACCCCCGAGGCTGTGGATTTACCCCACCCCCAAGGCTGTTCACTGACCCCACCCTCAAGCCTGTCCACTGACCCCACCCCCAAGGATGTCCATTGACCCCACCCCCCAAGGATGTCCACTGACCCCCACCCCCAAAGACATCCACTGACTCCACCCCCAGGGATGTCCACTGACCCCACCCCCAAGGCTGTCCTTCCAGGCTCTGTGTCTACCATGTCCTCTGAATGGGGACCACTGAGTTCAACAGCCCCAAACTGCAGCCTCACAGGTGACATTTTCTTGTTTTCAAAAACACTGTTGCTACTTCCCTGTGAGTACACACACATACACACACATACACACACACACACACACACACATACACACACACACACACACACACACACACACACACACACTCTCACTCTCTGTCTTGACCAGAAGTTGTGAGTTGGAGATGCCATGGAAACCCAAGTCTGCAACCCAATGCAGAGAAGAGGCAGAGTCGGTTTTTTCTGCAGAAATTCGCTCATTGATACTTTCCTTGGAGGGAGAAAATGAGCCAGAAACTCGTGTCAGGATCAATGAGAAAAAGGGCATGAAAATGCCACAAAACCTTCAGTATTTTGTGAACGCAGAAGAGGCTGCCAAGAGCCTTTTCCTTGCCTTTTTTCTGACCCGAAATGAAAGGCTTTCTGTCCGATAAAGCCCATTGGGTGAGCAGGTGCCGTTGGCTACATGAGTCTGAAGACAGCCGGGGGCATCTGTCTCTTCTGTACGTCTGCACACCAGCACCCAGCAACCCAAGAGTGGTTAGGTGAATAAATAACATATCGTTGATCAAACAATACGTTCTTCGCGTCCCTGGCTTTGTAGGCCGCTAAAGGCATTCTGGTGGAAAAGATTTGCAGCCAGTTGAAGTTGGAAACCAGCGGAGTCTCTCGGCAGCAGAGCTGCCCCGAGCCTCTGGCATGCAGCATGCCTTGGGAGCCCCGCAGTGGGAGCGCAGGACGCATCTCCCACGCTTGCACTCGGGCCTTGGGTCAGGAGCGTCCACCTTGGTTCTGGTGTCCACGGCACGTCATTGGCGGGTGCTGGTCACACCGCAGACATGGTCACATAGACTGAGAATTCTCAATCCCCGGGGGCTGAGGTGGGAGGGAGAGCAAGAAGAACACTGGCAGGGAGGGAGGCTGCTTACCGCGGACCAGGGGCGTTTCTTCCAGTTCCCACTGCGGGACTGGACGCCACCACTTTCCAAGTGAGAATGTTGGCCGTGGAGCGAGAGGCCCATGCTGGCACCTCCTGCTGGTCTCCCAAGAGGGAGGCAGTCGGTCTTCATGCCCAAGGCCGGAGCTACCGTGAGCCTGACTTCAGCTGGGCCTTCCTGAGGCCACAAAGACGAGCATCCCGCCCGGCCCTGGGAGGCGCCTGTGGCTGGGGCTGCATCATCTGGGGTCGTTGCAGGAGATGAAAGGGAGGGTGTTCTGGGCGCAAGGGGAACGCTGGCTTCCAGGACGGGTCTGCCCTTGCCAGCTCTGCCACAGACAACACGCGTCACCCCACAAGCCTCCTGTCCCTCACTTGCGGGATACGAGTGGCGACCACCATGCCAGTGGTGCCTTGTGATGACTCGTGGTCAGTTTTGAGGATGCTCGGCACAGCCTCAGGCACTCAGTAGGCGCTCCTGATGGGAAGGTACCCGGAGTCTCCACACACCTGTGCACCTGGCGCGGTGCCTGGCACAGAGCAGACTCATGGAAGGTACTTCCAGAATGCACAGGTAGCTCAGATTGCTTGTTTCGAAAGGTAAGGGTACTAGCTGCCACCGTGAGTGTGTGTACATGTGTATGTGCGTGTGTCTGACGGAGCGAGGACCCCATGGTGGGTGACTGACTCTCCAGTGGTCAAGGCATGGGTGGCAAAGAGCACGGCCGGGGCATCCGTGTGCCCTGCGTGTCCCTGTGGCCACGCTCCCAGAGCGCTGTGCTGAATGGGGCACCCGTGCACCGTGGGGTCGGTCACGGGGCGTGTGGCGCTGAGGGGGCCTGCGGGCCGCACCTGGCATATCCCCCAGCTGAGCCTGGGGAATGTGGCAGGCAGCCCAGCGAGCCCTCACGGCGGCAGCCTTGGCTTCCTGGGCCCGACCCGTGTCCTCTGGGCGTGGGTGCAATGGAGGCTGCAGGCATTAAACTGTGCAAATAAAATATAGCTTGTGGAAACTCACCGGGTCCCTGTTGCTATGGTTACCCCAGCAGGTCGTCCAGTGAGAACGGCTCTGTCCTCAGCAACGAATCAGGGAAGCCCAGCCCTGGGCGACGCTCCCCCCAGAATGTCATGGCACAGCCGAAGGGGACCAAGGAGGAGGCCAGGAAGAGAAATGGTGAGATGCCTCCCCGTAGGGCCGCCTGGCCTCGCACGCATGCGCGTGCACACACACGTGCACACACTCACCCCCAGCAGGCTGAGACCCACGTCCTCCTCTCTGCTCTGCACCACAAGGTCCGGGAGTCTGCTGGGAGCCTCCCACGCTGTCCCCTCACCCCGCTTCTGAATCATCCTGGCCCGCCCCCTGCCCCTGTTCTTTTGGAATGGTATAGGTCAAGCTGAGGCTTGCTTCCAGATCTTTCTAATTTGCGGGTGGACTGCTGTACCCTCCAGCCCCCAGTGCACTGAGACGGCTGGCCCTGGCCTGATGCCCGTGGGAAGTCTCAGGGACTCAACCAATGCCAGAGTCCAGACAATGCAAGCCCACCTCCCCTCCAGAGCAAGAAAGCCGTAAAGGTCTGTCACCAACTTGGAAACTCAGCCGGATACTTCTGTCTGAAGTTTCCGGGCCGTTTGTTTCTCTCACATGTGATTCTTCCCTGCCTGTGAGGACTGGGTTGAGGTTTTCATTCGGTCGTCTGAGCCCCTCATCGTGCGGGGCACCCTCTGTCGGTGGCCGCTGTCATCCCTGTGCGGCCTCTATCCCCTCCTGACACCTCCCCTCATGACCTCCTCTTCCTGCGTCCTTCCGTGTGAAGCTGGCTCCCTAGGGCCCGGGATTCACATGCCCGGCGCTGCTGATTTCAGACCAGGTCCGTTCCTCTGGGGTCTTTAAGGGTTGCAGGCCGAGCTCACAGGACGCCCGGGGACAAGCTGGACCCTGACACGCAATCGGCTTCCCCTCCAAAGGTGCTTTTGCCGCTCAAGGACTCGCTCTGGAGTCTGGAGCTGGAATCGCATTGTGTTTTCAAACGCTACTTATTTCTTTTCTTCCAAATAAAAAAGAAAGAGGGGAAGAAAGAGCTATGATGCCACGGATTTGAATTCCGCAGGGGAAACGCGCTCCTGTCCCGGTTTCCAGCTCCTGCGCGAGGTGCCTGTTTAGGCTGTCGCTACGCGTGGTTGCTGAATGCGTTCTTGCCCTGTGTCCTCTCTGCCTGCCTCGGGCCACCCAGACCGCACCACCCACATCAGGATGGGGCTGACCTGGGACCTTCCTGGAGCCTCAATCCCCCCGGGATGTCAGCGCTGCCACACTCTTCTGTCTCCCCAGGGCAAGCCGCCAGGAGAGAAGGGTAGAGGGAGCGAGGCGATAGCAGAGACCCCCGCCGTGAAGCCACAGGGGAGGGCTGCTTTGGCTGAATCTGTGATGGCCACTGCCACCTAGCCAAGATGGTCCACCCACCTCGGCCTCCTCTCTCCCCTCCCCCTCCCTCTTCCTTCCTTTTTCCTTCCCTTATATACTTCCTGGGTCTTGCTGTGTTGCCCAGGCTGGAGTCCAGTGGTGCCATCGTGGCTCCCTGTAGCCTCCAATTCCTGGGATCAAGCGATCCTCCTGCCTCAGTCTCCCAAGTAGCTAGGACTACCGGCTGTGCTACCATACCCAGCTATTTTCTTTTTTAATTTTTTATAGAGATGGGATCTGCTATGTTTCCCAGGCTGGTCTTGAACTCCTGGTCTCAAGCAGTCCTTTCACCTTGGCCTCCCAAAGCTCTGGGATTACCAGCGTGAGCCACCACACCCAGCCTTACTTCCTGGAAATACATAAAGTAAAGCCAAGACCACTCACTCCCCCAGAAGTCCCAACCACCCACCCCTGCCCTCTGAAGGCCCTGAATGACCCCGTGTGTCTTTCCCTGACCTTCTTACGGTGCATATGGGCACACACGTGTCTTTGCTTTCTGTTCATTGGTGTTTTCTTCTGCAAAATGGAATAATATGCATATTGTTCCGTGCCCTTTTCCTTGTCTGAAAATGTGCACCGCATGGACTCCTCGGTCTGTCGCGCATGGTTGCAGAGACGCCTTCCCCCGCCCTGGGCTTAGTCCACCAAGACCAGAGCCCATGGGTTCCCGCCCTCCACGCCCCCCACCTGGGAAGTGCCGGCCGCTCTGCCTGTCCCAGCCGCCCTCGCCGTCCGGCTCGTCTGCTCTCTGCCTGCCTCCTCCCTCTGTCGAGGTCACATCCATGATCTAAATCTCAGGCTCGGAGCATGACTGAAGTGCAGTCGCTGGGCTGGTTGAGAGTCTCGCTCTGTTTCATTAGCTCCGTCCCTCCCAGGGTTAGGGTGCTTCCGTGGTTGCACCTCGTTCTTGCCAAGAGTAAGCACGGAGAATTTGGGGGTTGGTCGCTTCTGTCTCACCAGGTCTCCATCCAGGGAGGTTTAGGCTTGAGCTTTTCCAAGAAGTGACAGGACCACCTTGCTTTGTGTAAAACTCAGTCAACGCAGAAGCACGTCAGCACTCAGAGACGGACCTTCCGTGGACCGTGTTTATCCTTTTCGTCAGAGGACTCCACTTTATCTTAGGGCTAGGTTAGAGTTTACCAGTAAAATCAGTCGTGTGTTTTATTGATTAGAAGATGAACCAAGGGAAGAGAGGGAGGGAGGGAGGAAATAACATTGAATGGAATTATGGAAAAACAAAAACGTGCCTTTTCATGACCTTGGCAGCTTGCAAAAACATATTGGGAGACCGGGTGTTGTGGCTCATACCCATAATCCCAGCACTCTGGGAAGCAGAGGTGGAAGGATCACTTGAGGCTAGGAGTTTGAGACCAGCTTGGGAAACACGGCGAGACTCTGTCTCTACAAAAACGTCTTTTAAAAAATTCGCCAGGTGTGGTGGTGCACACCTGTAGTCCCAGCTGTGTGGGAGGCTGAGGCAGGAAGATCGCTTGAGCCCAGGAGTTTGAAGCTGTGATGAGTGACAGTCATGCCACTGCACTCCAGCCTGGGCAACAGAGTGAGATCCTGACAAAAAAACCCAGATGGGTGAGAATGGAGCATCCATTCTAGGGCAGCAGTGAGGACAGGCTGACTCGGGCTAACTCAGTGCACCACTGCTAACTCAGCAGTGAGGACAGGCTAACTCAGTGGTGGTCAGTACTGGGAAGGGCATGGAGCTGGGTGATGTGCTCGGGGAGGGTCGCCCTGCGGGAGCCAAGCGGACGGAGAGGGCAGCGGGGCGGGCAGCCAGACAGGACCATGGGGGCACTGGCTTGATCCTGAGGGGTGAAACCCACGGAGGGTTCCGATCAGAGTCAGAATGTGACCTGGTCACTGCTTAGAAAGATGGCCCCTGGTTGCTGGTGGAACGTGTGTTTTCGGGGTCGGGGATGGGGGAGGCTCAGAGCAGGGGCTTCTCTGGGAGGTGCCTGGGTAGCGGCTGTCCCCAGGGCGTGTGACCAAGAGCCAGGTGGAAACCGCAGTGGTGTTCAATGGCCGGAGTCTTGGGCGTGACACTCCGTCATTCTGTGATGTCCTAACTACACAGGAGGACCTCCTTGTGAGACTGTGAGTGTCAAGAGGGGAGACTCTCACAGAGCAGGTGTCCAGGTGGGCGATCTCAGTGGCCACGCAGAAGCTGACCCGCAAAGCTATGCCACAAATATCGACACATCTGGTGACACAGACAAAGAGAGCCTGTCCCCGTCACTGGCTGCTTGGTGGCCTGCTGGCTAGCCGCAAATCAGCCCACAGAACTAAAAACAAATTCCAATTATCGTCCATTGTTAGTCTCTGAGTTGTTTCAGCCCCATTGTGAAATAACACTTTGCTTGGCTTAATTTGACAAATCTTCTGTGATTAACGTAAGTGGTGGAATGATAGAAACCATGTGTTTCTCCATCAATTAAATGACCTGCCAGCCTCTTGAGTAGGCTGGAGGGAAGCGGAAGGTGCTGTGCTGGGGTCACGCTTGACACAGCAACTCCTCGCTCCCCAGGGGCTTCCGGATCTGGTTGTCAGACAGCCTTAACTCATCTCTGGCCAGGTGCTCAGTGAGCCGTCCTGCCCGTGGGTACTTGATGGGACTAGCCTTAGGAACAAGTGCATTGGCAGGAACCGCCTCTGTCGGCTCAGCCATGGACGCTCTGGGCGGACGGAGTCTTAGCGATCTCAGCAGAAGCAGCTGTCAGAGGGGGGACTCATCCCCCAGGCGGGGGTGGGATTCCCGCCCCTTCGTGAGGGGACTTGCCAGGAGCTGCAAATCCGTTTCTCCAGTGGTCATTTCATAGCTTCGTTTTAGACAAATGAAAGAAACCAAAGCCCAGTCACTGGAGAGGCAGCCTTCACAAGGGGAAAGAGTGTCCACAGCAAAGTCCATGGCTCGCTGACCACGGAGCACTTGGGCCTTCACGTCGTGGGGATCCGTGGCCCTGGGCAGAGGCTGAGCTGAGCACTGAGGCTGGTGACTGTCAGATTTAGGAGCAGTGATGAGGTTTGGCTGATTCACTTTTCTCACTCCTGACTCAGAGAGAAAAAAGTTAGTTTCGTCCTTCAAATGTTCTGCCATCGTTTTGAAAGAAGGGGCTGCCGCTGCTTCGACCCAGACCCTCCCTGTTCTTTGCTGCCCGTTGAAAGGGTCATGGGGGTGAACCGTGGGGCCTTGGCTTCATGGGCGGACCCCGGCCCGACCCAGGTTGACAGTGGTGGTTTTGAGGGGAGTGATCCCGACTGTGGGCCTGTGCTCCAGGCCACCATGGAATGGATCAGGACCAAGTCGCCCCTCCGTGTGTTTGTGTCATGTGCAGTGCCCACCAGCGATGAGGAAGAGGGAGTGGTTCTCTTCGACAGCTCAGGCAAGGTGGCCGCAGAGCCCGTGGACACGTCTTCCGGGTCGGTGCACCTCATCGCCATCAAGCCCACAGCCCTGCCCATGGTGCCCCCCACCTCGGACAGGAACCAGGAGTCCTCGGCGGTCCTTAACGGAGAGGTGAGTGCCTGAGGACGCGGGACAGGAGCAATCTAGTTGGGCCCTAGGGAACTGGACTGAGGGTGGCACCTGCCAGCTCAGGGTGACATGGAGTTGGGGACCTGGGACATGCCTGCCAGTGTTGGGTGACACAGTGTTGGGGACCTGGGACATGCCTGCCAATGCTGGGTGACGTGGCGTCAGGGACCTGAGATGCACCTGGGCATGTGGGCATCTTTACCTCCGTGTGCTCCAGGCCACCATGGAATGGATCAGGACTAGGTCACCCAAAATAAATTTGCCAGGTGATGTTTTCAGAGCATCTTCTACTCATTTGAAAGCCAGAGGGAGCGTTTTGGAACTGAGGTTACAAAGAGAACGTCAGAAGCTCTCCCCGTCCCTCACACACATCCTCTGCCTTGAGAACACCCCTAAACTGTCTGCATGGTGGGTGTCGTGGGGACGGGAGGGGCTTGAGGTGAGAGGAACCCGGAGAGATACTGGGACGTGGCCATGATACAGGCTGTGAAATGGCACGTATCCCTTCAAGTACACTGCCAGCAACCCACCAGCTGCTTCCAGGAGGACATGGACGAATTGTATAATGTTGATGACCTCTTCTGAGGGTCTGAAAAGTGGGTGGCATTCACTGGAGAGTGATGATTTCATCAAAGAAAGCTAGCTAGCTAGCTAGTTAGCTAGCTAGAGATGATTTGTTGATAGGCAGACGTATTGATATGGATGATTGATAGAGAGATGATTGATTAATTGATAGATACATAGTTAAATGCATAGAGAGACCCCTAGATGACAGATAGACAGACAGACAGACACAGGGTCTCCAGTCCCTGGTACTGGTCCGTGGCCTGTTAGGAGCCAGGCCACACAGCAGGAGGTGAGCGGCAGATGAGGGAGCAAAGCTTCCTCTGCATTGACAGCCCTGCCCCCTTGCTCACATCACTGCCTGAGCTCCACCTTCTGTCAGCTCAGTGGCAGCATTAGATCCACATAGAAGCGCAAACCCTGCTGTGACCTGCACATGCGAAGGCTCTAGCTATAAAGTGCACAATAAACGTCATGCACTTGAATCATCCCCAAATCATCCCTCCTCCAGCCTCACCCCCCAGCTGTGGAAAAATCATCTTTCACAAGACCAGTCCCTGATACCAAAAAAATTAGGGACTGCTGGATAGATACATACATACATACATAGATGAATACATGGAGAGACAGAGACATAGGTAGACAGATGATAGATAGCTATAGATGATAGATACATACATAGGTATCTGATAGGTAGCCAGGTGATAGGTAGACAAATGTAGATGGACAGATTGGGAGAGGGGGAGGCAGTGCAGAGGGGAAGCAAGAGTCCGGTCACATTGCCCACCTCCTTCCATCTTCTGCAGCAGAATGGTCAGGGCTTGGACATGGTTATGGACCTTAAAGAAGATGCACACAGAACCCGCATGCCAACATGTACACTTCACGTGTGTCCAGGCACATACACACACGTACACACGCACTCTGATGCAGCTCTGCTGTGAAGCTGTGGGTTGGCTGTCCATTCTATCCTGCTCTGTTCCCTGCAGCAGGTGGGAAAGTTTATGGTTTTCAGGGCTTTTTCCCACCACACCATCGGGAACACCCCACACCTGGCACAGCTGGGCTGGTCCTCCCTCCTTCCCAGCTGCTTAGAAAGCACTTTATAGACGATTTGGGAGGCTCCTTTTGCTTTCTGGGCCAAGAGATGGAACTGGTGGGTTGGGGCTCATTGGCTTTTAGAATTCCCCTAGACTCACGGAGCATTTCCAACCCCACCTCCTCCGGGATTTAGACAGACGCTGAGGCCTGAGGGTTCACGGGGTTCTCAGAGCCACATGCAGGGTGCTGTGCCAGCCATGAGGTCGTGTCTCCTGGCTCCCCGCCCAGGGCTCCTCCCTCTCTGTCTTATGCAGCCCACAGTGAGAAGAAGCCTGGAGCTTCTGAGGCCGTGGAGCCTTGCCGCCATGCTTCCACTTGCTGTGTGACCCCGGGTTATGTCTCTGGGCTCCAGTGGCTCCATCCGCAAAGTGGGGCTGCCGTGAAGATACAGCCGGTTCTCACATGGGAAATGCTGACGACAGTGCCTGGCACGCAGGATGCACTGTATCACCCGCTGGATGAACCCTGGGGAGGGACCCTGTGCTGTAGGCCCCTCGGCTCTGTAGCCAGAGAGTCTGGGTGTCTCGTCACAACCGACCACAGCCTCGGCACCTTTTCCCAGGCACAGTTCCTCCCCCAGCCGGCAAGCCAGCGCTCAGGGGCCTTTGAGGCCTCCCTCCAGCTCTGAGCATGGTCTGGGCCGTGGCCCATGGTTGGGACCCTCTGGCCCGCGGTGGCCGCACGTCATGTCCGTGGGCCACGCCTGGGCCTCTTCATCCCACACAAGGGTGAGAATGTTCCAGAGACATTCCACATCTGGGCTGGAGTCAGCTCACCTTCTCTTTTCCTCTGGGGCTCGTCACCCAAAACAGAGGAGTGTCGCCCTGGTCCAGAAATGGGCGCTTGCCACCTGGGTGGCTCAAGGAGCGGGCCATCCCCTGTGACTGGCTGCTCTGTCATTGTCTTCCTCTTCTCCTGCGGGTGACTGGCTTGACTGAGGAATGCACAGCCCTGAGGCCACGCGTCTCCTTTGCTGAGTGACAGGATTCTTTCAGTCTCTCTTAAGAAAACTGAAGAACAACGTGGAAAATCCAGAAAGTGGTGCCACTTCCTTACCACTTGCTAGTTGTAAGCACGGCCAGCTGCGTCTGTCTTCAGCAGGTCATGGGGTCCCTTAGCCGTGTGTGTCCCTTCCTGAAAGGCCAGGTTGGCTTTGCCCTGTAGGGTGGGGCCTGGTTGGCGCTGTTGGCTGTACAAGGCTTCAAAATTACCTGACTCTCAAGCAAAATGTGGGTTCCCAAAAACACACTCCCAGATGCAGGGGACCGTGTAGACAGGCCTTGGGAGGGGGGCTCCCATCAATGATATTCTCAAACCTGCCGGAAGCACCTCTGTGACATGAGGACAGACACATTCTCCTTGGTGACTTCCCCATGGGCCTGAGCCACAACTCCCACGGACCCATGGAGCCACGGCAGACCTGTTCTCCATAGACTAAACGCGATAGTTTTTATTAAAGGCAAAAATGACCCGACACGGTGGCTCACATTTGTAATCCCAGCACCCCAGCTCAGCCTCTCCGACCCCACCAGACTCTCGCTGAATGGCCGGGGGGTGGGAGGTGCTGGGTTCATCAGGCCTGGGCCTAGAGCGAGGGCACCCAACATGGGCTGGGCCGCAGGTCAGAGGAACCATGGTGCCAGCAGAGGGAGGGCTGGTGGCACGTAGCTGAGCGAGGGGCCAGGCCTCAGCCTGAGAGGTGGCACAGACAGGGTGATGGAGGCCCTGGGGGAGTCCCAGGAGACCCAGGGGAGCGTCTGGGCCCGCCATGTGGGCCGGTCTTGGCGCGGGATGGCGGGTCTGGCTGGCCGGGGGGCCGTCGTGACACACGCCCAGCTCTTCCGGGGGTTGGGACCATCCAGTGAGCACCCCGCCGGGGCCACGTGGGTCGGGGGCTGAGCCTGTCTCTCCCCGCAGGTGAGCAAGGCGCTGAAGCAGAAGTCGGACATCGAGCACTACCGGAACAAGCTGCGTCTCAAGGCCAAGCGGAAGGGCTACTACGACGTCGCCCCGGGGGAGCCCGGCAAGGGCCTGGTCGAGAGGAGGAAGGCGGACGACAGGGTCCCCCGGGAGCTCGAGCACGTGCCAGGTCCAGACCCCGAGCTGTGCGCGCCTTTCGCTGAGCCCAGGAGCAGGTGCTGTCCTGGGGTTCCATCGTGGGGCGAGGGCCGGGGCGTAGGCAGGGTGCGGTCCAGCCCTCCTCCGGGACATTGGGACTGTGGGCTCCGCGGGGCGCCCCAGGGACTGGGGAGGATAAAGCCAGGAAGCACGGACTCAGGTGGACGCCATGATTGTCTTCAGCTCAGTGATATTTTCAAAGCAGCAACCTTTCCAGGGCCAAAGACGTGATTATCAAGAGACAGTGTGTTTTCCCTCCTGCCCTCCCTCCCTTTCTTCCTTCCTTTCATTTTGAGCTAGGGCCTCATTCCGTCACCCAGGCTGGAGTGCAGTGGCATGGTCGTGGCTCACCACAGCCTCGACCTCCTGGGCTCAGGGGCTCTTTCTGCCTCAGCCTCCTGAGTAGCTACCACGTCCAGCTGATTTTCTGTAGAGACAAGGTCTCGCTATGTGGCCCAGGCTGGTCTCGAACTCCTGGGCTCAAGTGATCCTCCCGCCTCGGCCTCCCAAAGTGCTGGGATCACAGGCGTGAGCCACCACGCCCGGCCCACTCGCCCTTTTATGACAGCCCCAATCCCCCCTGAGGAGGAGCCCTGGTGTCCCAGTAGCCTCCCTGCATGGCCCCACAACCGGATTTCACCATGAGCTTTGGAGGGGACTGACCTCCGAGTCACAGGAGCATTCTTTCAGGCTTCAGTGCTGAGGAAGCAGGCGGACCCACATCCCCCTGGGTAAAGAGGTGGAGGTTAGTGAGGCCAAGTGTGTCCACCTGCCTGCCAGCCGAAAGCACCTCTGTGACATGAGGCCAGACACATTCTCCTTGGTGATTTCCCCATGGGCCTGAGCCACAACTCCCACGGAGCCATGGAGCCAGCAGACCTGTTCTCCACAGACTAAACGCGATAGACAGTTTTTATTAAAGGCAAAAATGGGCCGACACGGTCACATTTGTAATACCAGCACTTTGGGAGGCTGAGGTGGGAGGATTGCTTGAGGCCAGGAGTTCGAGACCAGTCTGAGTAACATGGTAAAATCTTGTCTCTAAAAAAAAAAAACAAAAGATAAAAAGGATTAGCCAAGACGGAGGCAGGAGGATTGCTGAAGCCAGGAGGCTGAGGCTGTGGCGAGCTGGGATCAGTGATATTTTCCAGCCTGGGCGACAGAGTGGGATCCTGCCTCTCAAAAAAAGAAAAAGGCAAAACAATTCTGTGACAGGCTGGGATCAAAGCCACGAAACCAAGCTAGGAGGTGGTTCTAAATTTTATGAATTGGTTCAACATGAATAATTTTCTCTTTTTTTGAGTCGGAGTCTCACTCCGTCGCCAAGGCTGGAGGGTAGTGGCACGCTCATGGCCGCCGCAGCCTCGACTTGCTGGGCTCAGCTGATCCTTCCACCTTAGCCTTCCAAGTCGCTGGAACTACAGGCCTGTGCCACCAAGCCCGGCTAATTCTTTGATTTATTGTAGAGACGTGGTCTCATCAAGTTGACTGGGCTGGTCTTGAACCCATTGGCTCAGGCAGTCCTCTTACCTCGGCCTCCCAAAGTGCTGGGATTATAGGCGTGAGCCACCACGCCTGGCTGAATTATTTTCAATAAAGAAAACAGGGAAGTCTAGACCAGTACTTAATCGACCATGCCTGGAATCAGGCCCGACGGGTAGGGTGAGTCATTGATCTGAAGTCCTGCCATAACAGGTTCACACCGCCTGTGTCCCTGCATTCACAACTGGAAAGAAACGAGAAAAGACATGGGGTTTTCAGGGTGGCTGGTGGCTCCCTTTTCTTTGTACGTGGGGACTTTTCATGTCTGCGTCATTCCTAGACCTGGGTGGGAGCTTTCGTTCCTGGGTTGCCCACCGGCACTCGGGGAAACAAGTCGAAGACCACGGACAAATACAAGGAGCTTAGAGCAGAAGCCACGTGAGAAACAGCCACAGTCGCCACTTGAGGCTTTTGGTGGGAAGAGAATGAGCAGAGAATGAGCGCAGCTGGCTTCTGGAGAGACGCGTCTCTGCCCCACGCAGGTGCAGGCCGCTCATGGGGCCCGATGGCCTCTGGACTGGGCACGTGCCGCCACTCCTCAGCGCATATCTATGAAGAGGCGATTTAAAGACCATAGAGCACCAAAAATGACTTTTAAAAAAATGTCACCAGTGAAGGAAAAAGATGATTAACCACAAGCTGGGTGAGTGGGACTAGGATAGACTGAGGGCCGGGCACGAGGGCTCAATGTCCGCAATCCCAGCACCTGGAGGCTGAGGGGGGAGGATCGCTTGAGACCACTTGGAGGCTGTAGTGAGCTGTGATCTCGTCATTGCACTCCAGTCTGATGACAAAGGGAGACTCTGTCTCTAAAAAAAAGAAAGAAAAAGAGAGAAGGCATGAAAGTAGGATCCATATGGGGGTGAGGAGGGAGCCATTAATAGAAAAAGGAGGGTGACTCTCCGTGAGTGCCAGATGTGTTCTTGACACACCCTGCTGCCGACCTCAGGGTCAGCCAGCTCTTTCTCTGTGACCCCAGGCTGGAGTCACCTGTGAGTGCTCCCAGGACCGAGCACGGCAGGACACGTGCGGGACTGCTCTCCAGTCCATAGGCAGCGGCCGTAACAGAGTTGTGCCCTAAGCCCTAAATTGCACCAGAGACAAAGTCTGGATTCCATATGTCAACAGGCGACGTCTTTTCTGTGTTTCCGACACTTACAAAGCAACCCACTGCAATGTCAATTGCTGATCCCAGTGTTCACCACCACCCTTCTCTTCTGGAGGGGCTAACTGGCTGTCTCAGGACAGCTGTGAAGTCTGCTTTTTCAAAAAGTGATTTGCAGTTGGGTCAAGGGGTCTTGAGGTGGGAATGCTTGGAACAGTCTGCCTAGGGAAGGCTTCCCGTTGCCGGTAACCGCAGGACTCAGCTTATGGCGTCAGGCTGCAGGCTGCCATATCAGAATCAGGCAGAATCCTTTGGGCTGCAGATGATGGGAATTCAACACAAACTGGCCCCATAAAAGGGGGCATGCTGCTCCACATTATAGAATGATCGAGGCTTCAGCATGGCTGGACCCGGGCGTCACGCAGATCTCGCTCTCTCTTCACTCTCACCACATGGTGACAGACTGGCTGCCGGCAACTCCCGGCTTGTGGTCCATCAACTTAGAAACCTCAAGGCCGAGAGAATGCCTCTTCCCTTGTTGTCCTGGCAGAAGCCTTGAGACTCCGTCTCATTGGACCAACGCAGGACACGTGCCCAGCCCTGGCCAATCACAGTGGGCTTGGGTGTGATGCTGCGATTGGTCCTGCCTGAGCCACATGCCTACCCTGGAGGAAGGGTAGCCCCCAAGGAACGTCATGATGCTCTTGCCGAAGGAAGGTGATCCAGGGTTCTGGACGAGCAGAGACGACAGATGCTCTGAGCAGGTGCTGGCTCCTCGTGGGGGGCAGGGCTGACAGCATCTGTTTTGTTCCCAGGGCTGGCTGAAGGGGGGAGGCTTCGCCTGGACGACCTGCTGCTCCTTCTAGACTCTTTGAGTGTGACTGCCGCACCGCCACTCGCCTGTGTGCATTTGTGGGGAGGTGTGTCTGTGTGCCGCCTGGTCACTGGGAATGACTAATGCAGCCTTCTCACCTTCAACTAGGAGAGCCAGAATCTTAGAACTGAGACCTGAAATAGGCATCGTCTGGGACTTCTCTGAAGATAGAGGGTCTGGGAATGCAAGTTGTTTGCAGAGAGACCCGTGGTTGGATGAGAGGGAATTTTACCCCTTGTCACCCTGTGGGTTCATGTGGAAGTCACCTATCCCCACTGGGCCTCACTTGTGAAAGCTGCCCCTGGGGAGGAAGGAAGGCCTGGCTACCGCCTTCATGATGTGGCTGTTTCCTTCCCACTCTCCAAAACGATTCCTCTGGTGACGAGTGGAAAGGAGATGGGTGATGAGGTGCAGCTGTCCGGAGGGGTTGAATGGTGCTGCTGGACCTGCAACTACCTGGGCCTGAAGTACTCCATCCCCAGAGCTTCACGCAGCTGCTTCATTCAGGACCTGGCTGAGCGGTCACCGCCTTGTCGCCCTGAACAGGCTATCTAAGCCACCCCGATCCTAGTCACCCGTTGTCACAGCTCCTTGTTTTGCTTAATAGCACTTGTCACTCTGAAATGATGATGTCTATTGTCTGTCCCCTCATCAGGAGATAAGCTCAGGAAAGCAGAGGCTGCGTCTGTCTTGTTCACTGTGGTTGCTCACCCTCTCCTGCCATGCCTGGCACGTCGTAGGCACTCAGTAAATGATGGGTGGCTGGAAGTTTGGCTAGGCGGATGGATGGATGGGTAGGTGGATGCATGGATGAGTAGGTGGATGGATGGATGGGTGGATGGGTGGATGGATGGGTAGGTGGATGGATGATGGATGGATTGATGGACAGATGGATGTATAGGTAGATGGATGAATGGAGGGACTGATAGATGAGTAGGTGGATGGATAGGTGGATGGGTGGATTCACAGGTGGATGGATGGATGGATGGATGGATGGATGGATGGGTAGGGGGATGGAAGGATGGGTAGGTAGATGGATGCATGAGTAGGTGGATGGATGAATGGGTAGTAGATGGATGGATGATAAGTGGGTGGGATGGATGGATGAATGGATGGATGGATGGACAGACGGATGGATGTATAGGTGGATAGGTGAATGGAGGGACTGATAGACAAGTAGGTAGATGGAGGGATGGATGGGTGGACTCATAGGTGGATGGATGGATGGATGGAGGAACTGATTGGTGAGCAGGTGGATGGATGGATGGATAGACTCATAGGTGAATGAGTGGATGGGTGGATGGAAGGCTAGGTAGGTATAGATAGATGGATGGGTAGGTGGATGGATGGATGGATGGATGGGTGATGGATGTATAAGTAGATACATGGCTGGATGGATGAATAGAGGGACTGATAGATGAGTAGGTGGGTGGATAGGTGGATGGGTGGATTCACAGGTGGATGGATGGATGGATGGATGGATGGATAGATGACTAGGTGGGTGGATGGATGGATGGATGGATGGATGGATGGGTGGGTGGGTGGATGGGTGGATGGATAAATGGATGGACGGACGGACAGATGAATGAGGGGGTAGGTAGATGGACGGACGGAGAGGTGGGTAGATGGGTGGATAGATGAATGGATGGATGAACTGGTGGGTGGGCGGATGAAGGGGTGGGTAGATGGACGGATGATGGCTAGGTGGGTGGATGAGCCCCACATTGCCTCTCGTTTTATAGCGTCTTAGTGCAGTAGGGAATCCACTGTGGTAAAGGTAGAAATCTAATCACGGTCACAGCATTAAGCAGCCCACCAGCTGCAGGGTCCATTCACACATCGTAGAAGACTGTGTGTGAAAGCAGAAAGAGTGAAAAGAGCAGGTAGCTGCTGAGTCCGCAAAGTTGAGAGGCGAGCAGGTCCCGTCAGCGCCAGCTGTCCTGAGGTCAAGGGAGACCCCTGCTCCTGCTATCAGCAGAATTCTAAAGGAGGCTGCGATGTTGCGATTGATTGTAGGTGCCTTGTTTCCATGTGAAAGAGCACTTACAATTCAGCCAAATGATTACAGCATCTGGGAAAAAATGAATGCGTGTCACTCTTTCTACAGCCCTCGGTCGCCAGGGAACCAGCGCCATCAGTCCTGAGACCGGGAGGTGTATCCGGACCCTTCATTGGCTGCCGGTGGTTGGGATCAGTGGAGAATTCCATCTGTCAGGGCATTTGCTGCATCATAACAGTTGTTGGATTTTCTTCAGGCAACAGATGAAGAACTCCGTCTACCGGAGCCGACAGTCCCTGAACAGCCCGAGTCCAGGGGAGACCGAGATGGACCTGCTGGTGACTCGCGAGAGGCCACGGCGTGGCATCCGGAACAGTGGCTACGATGTGAGTCTCTGGGGGGCAGGGGTGAGCATGCCGTGCTCCCCCAAAAGCCCGGGGGATGGAGCACCCCGTCACGGTGCTGCTCTCTGCACGTTGGTGGAACTTCACAATGCCCTGAAGTGTTGTCTGCTTCATATGATCTGTTTTGCAAAGTAAGACTGCTTGGAATGTGTCAGAGTCACAGATTCTGGCTGAAAGGGTCATGACGTCCGCATTGTCTCGTGTTCTGGGTAGCGCGTGATTGACCTTAGCTCCACGGAGGCTCTGAACGCCCTTAACTGTTTCCCCGTGTCCTTAGGAACTCAGTGGGACCATGGCCGTGGGTTAGAATTCACTGGAACACAGGCTTCTCTCAGTCTCTAGCGATGTGGGAAGTTGGACGTGTTCCTGATTTCATAACTGCTCATATGCCGTGAAAACCACAAGATGCCCAGCAGCGTGGTTGGGCGATGGCACATGGCAGGGCTCATGCTTGTTTGGTGATGCGGCCAGACTGTCCACGTCTTCCGTCCTGCCCTGCTCGCCCAGCGGCAAGCTGCAGTGCCTGCCGTCAAAGATGCCGTGAGTGCAGGTGGCCAGTGTGGGGCCAAGGAGTCAGGGCTGCCTCTCCTGCCCCAGAATTGCAACTGCTCTGGCATAGACTCCTAGGTTTATGAAAAAGTGCCTTCCCCATTCCCTTAAAACACTTCTCTGATTGCAGATAAAAGCTTTTCTGTACTAAGGGCTGTAATTCAAAGAGGTCTGGGTAAACTTTGTAATTTGTGTTGTAGCTAGAAAATGACACTTGGTTTCTTACCTGGATCGTGCTAGTTTGAGGGCAAGGATATTTCCCCCCCTCGGGATTGGTCACTGTTTGCCATAAACACTTAAAATGGGGTTTTAAAAATGTTTTTCCAGTGGAAAACAGAGAGAGTCTACCTAATTTGAATCCCTGGTATTGTCCTTACATTTAAACTTGATGTTTGTGTTAGTAGTGACATCCTTATCTCTTCTTTCTTTTTCTTTCTTCATAAAAGAGTTTGATATTTAGTTTCATAAAGTTACAAATGCTTTGGGCACATCTTTTATTTTTCTGATGGATTAAATTATCCGGTGTTAATTACTCTCCTTGTAAAAAACATCTCATACGAAATTCACTTATCCGTAACCAACCTGTGATTACAAGTCAAGCGTGAAGTCCCTGGTGACTCTTCCCCAGCAGTGAACATCCTGCATGCCTGTTGAATCTGGGGGACTTTTCCTTCTGCTCAGGCACCTGAGGTTTCTTCATTGGTCTTGAGACTGGTATTCACTGGCTTCCCGGAGATTCTAGGCCAAGATGCTTTGACAGTTGCGAGGAAATGGGCAGAGGTTTCCCCTTTAATCTTAAAGAGAGAACACCGCATAATGTGTTTATTAAGTATGTGAATTTGAGAGTCAGCCTCATACCCAGTAACAAAAAAAAGAGAGCGAGAGAACACTGCAGACGTGCTAGCCACGGTGACAGGACTCCCAATGTCACATTAGTCACCAGGAACAGCAACAGGAACAGGGCCACACTTGGGAGATGGCCTGTCCTTCCACCCTGTGTGGGTGTCCCAAGCATGGCCGGCTTGAGGGCAGGTGCTTCGTGCTGATGGGTTTCTTTAAAACGGACATTTCGTGGAGACGTGTGTGTGACCTCAAAGACGTAAACGCAGGCTTGTTTAACAGAAAATGGTCACCTGGGGAGCGGATTTTTACTTTTTTCATTTTATTTATTTATTTATCTTTTGAATCGGAGTCTCACTCGGTCACCCAGGCTGGAATGCAGGGGCACACTCAACGTCCACCGAAGCCTCGACCTGCTGGGCTCAGGCAATCCTTCGGGCTCAGGCAATCCTTCCGTCTCAGCCTTCCAAGTCGCTGGAAGCACAGGTACATGCCACAACACCCGGCTCATTTTTCGATGTATTGTAGAGACGAGGTCTCGCCCAGTTGCCCAGGCTGGTCTCCAGCCCGAAGACTCAGACAATCATCTCACCTCGGCCTCCCAAAGTACAGGGATGACTGGCATGCGCCACCACACCTGGCTAATTTTTTTACTCATTGTAGAGACAAGGTCTTGCCTTGTAGCCCAGGCCGGTCTCAAATCCCTGGGCTCAGGCAGTCCTCTTGCCTCTGCCTTCCAAAGTGCTGGGATGCTTTAAGAACCTCGACTGTTGGCTATAAGAATGGAGTTGCTTCTTGGTCTCTGCGCTTGTGCTTTTTACACCAACCATGTGAAAAGCAGCTCGTGTTTACCTGCAAGGCGCTGTGAACCAAGTCCTCTTCTGGTATTTTCCTGTGGATTTGTGTGGCTACCAGGCAGGTAGATGCTGTATTGTGCCCACGGTGCAGATGAGGAAACCAAGGTCAGGACAGTCACCTAAAAGCCCATCTCCTTGGCCAGCATGCTCTCTGGCTTCTACACCCCCCCCCACTCCACATCTGTCCCCACGTGACGTGATCTGTGAACCTCTGAAAAAAGCTAGACGTCCGGGCTCACAAGGGTTCCTACATGGATAACTCACACGAGCAAAAAAGGGACCAGAGCCTAAGTAGGAAGGAAAGACGGAGTCACGGCTTTAAACGATGCACTCACGCTCTGGGCTCTCGATTTTCTAACAATGCCCGTGCACTCCTGGCCAAAAAAATCTTCTGGTCCTACAGCAAGCCCGTCGTTCAATGGGAGGCACGCCATTCTTCCGAGTGGTCCTGGGGTTCTCAAAGCCAGGCCAAAACGCCTGGCCATTTCTGCCGGGCCGGGAAACTTTGGCATGGTGGAAACGACAGCGCTGGGAGAAGGACTTAACTTTGAATTCTTCAGATATTGACTAGAGCCCCAAAAGAAAAGCCTTCACGTAAAAATAAATGAATACATAGGCCGGGAGCATGGCTCACACCTGTGATCTCGGCATTTTGGGAGGCGGAGGCAAGAGGATTGCTTGAGCCCCAGAGTTTGAGACCAGCCTGGGTAACAGAGTAAGCCCCCATCTCTACAAAAAATGCCCAAATCAGTTGGGTGTGGTGGCACAGGTCTGTAATCCCAGCTCCTTGGGAGGCTGGGGCGGGAGGATCACTTGAGCCCAGGGCTTTAAGGCTGCAGGGGGCTGTCATCACCCCACTCATCCCAGCCTGGGCAGCAGGGCCAGATTCCCTCTAAAAAGCAAAAGGAAGACAAGGACCAGAAGATGATGGCAACCTCTCGGAAGCCGGGGCCTTCCCAGCTGCCTCCCTTGTCTCTCCCCAGCTTCTCCACGAAAGTCCACGCGCGGGAGGCCGGGCGGGGTGGGGGTGACCCGGGGAGCGCTCCTGCCAGTCCGACGGGCTCAGACCCCAAGGTGTGGTCATGGAGGTGAGATGTTAAAGAGACGGCTGAACCACCACAACACCTCAGAGGCAGTCTCAATCTTCAGCGCCCATTCCAGCGGCGCTCCTCGGGGACACGTCCAGGAACCAGGGACCTCACGGCTACAGCTAGGCGCCTCTAGCCGGGACCCATACAGGAGACTGACGACACTGGGCTATTTTGGGTTTTTGTTGTTGTCGAGTCGGGGTCTCGCTCCATCACCCAGGCTAGGGTGCAGTGGCACAATCACGGCTCACCATAGCCTCTGCTTGCTGGGCTCAGGTGATCTCCTGCCTCAGCCTCCTGAGTAGCTTAGATTACAGGGCACACCACCATACCAGGCTGATTTTTGATGTTTTGTAGAGACGAGGTCTGGCTATGTTGCCCAGACTGGCACAGCAAGCCATTTTAAACCGACAAACACTGCCGTGAGGAGTGAGTGCTTACGGGATCATCGGGCCGGACGAAGGCTCCCAGAAAGATTCCCGAAAGGTGGCTACAGGGCTGGTCCGTGGGGAGGCAGCTGCCCGTGTCCCAGGCAGGAAGGAGGGAGACAACAGCCCTGGGCTGTTGACGGGAGGGATCCGCTGGAGCAGGACCTGGAACACAGGAGCCCCACCCAACCTGGGCCTGGTCCTGGCAACCTGTCTGGTGGCCTCGCCTCCCATCGGGGCACCCCCAGTGTGTCCAGTCGGGGACCCAAGTCTTACCACAGCCACAGCCTCAGGGGAGGCTGGGAGACATCCGTGGCCAGTCCACTTGGACCCTGCAGGGGTGGTCGTGGGCCATTCGCCCTCTCCACTGCAGGTCCAGGTGGAAGCGAGGTGGTGGGAACACAGCCAGGCAGGGCGATCCCCAGGAAGCAGGTGGGCGGCTGGAGAGAGCACGCACAAGGGAGGCAGACCCCACCAGAGCCCGTCCCTGGCCACGCCTCGCCCGGCGTGTGACGGGGCTGTGTCCTGCCAGTCTCTCCACTGACCGAGCAACCAACCCGCGGGCCAGGTTGAGCGGCAGTTCTGCAAGGAACCAAGAGAGTTGCCTGGGTGGGTTCCAAGGTGAACTGGAGATGTCCCGACTGCGTGCAGCTGAAGCCACTTACGGTAAGTCTGGGGCCTTCCAGGTGACTGTGTCCTCCCCTCACGATGCAAATCTCCTGACCATCTGCCTCGTGCCAGAGTCCCGCAGCTCCAGCCAAGTCATCAGAGACTGGGCAAGGCATGAGCGTGGTGGTAGCTCAGTGGTAGGGTGGCCAGCTCCTGGGGGGCTGGGTCCAGGGATTTGTCCTTTATTCTAGAGTCAGCCTGCTTGTCGGCCCCTGAACCGGGCACCCTGGGTTGACCCTCCTAGAAGCTCCCCTAGAACCTTCCTCCATGGCTCCTGCCTTAACTTCCACCCCCTTCGCCTCCACCCACTGATGGGAGCCCCCGCTGGAGGTGTGCTTTCCAGCTGGCGAGCAGGACGCTGTCCTTTGCCAGGGGCTTCTGGGCCCAGGGAAAGCTCTGACCATTGGAATTCAGGCTCCTAGGAGGCCCCGAGGCAACAAGGCTGAGGCGTTTGGTGGTGAAGGGGCCTTTCGGTCAAGCCTAGACCTCGCCAGGCTGTCCAGAAAGATGCGTGCTCACCCCTAAGGGTGGAGGCCACTTGGCACGTGGGG